CAACGAGGCGAGGACGACGAGGATGACAGCGGCGGCGGCGCCCGCACTGCGTCTCCCTGCCGCCCTCCGCCCTCGTCGTCGCCCTCGCCGTCGCTTTGCTAAAATATTATTCGTGGATGTTGGGTCTCCGGAGCGTGATCATCGATGTCGGCCTCCAGGGGTCTGTTCCAGGCCCGGGGGGGGCAAAGAAAAATCTCCCCCCCTCGAATCGGATTTTGGACCCAAGAGGGGGAAAGGGGCGAGGGGGACAGCCAATTATCTCACGCGCCTTTTCCCCCCTCGGCAAGCGGGGGTCGACGGATTGCATGTTGACTTTCGCCGGTGCCAGGAGAGCGCTTTTTTCGGCCCCTGCAAGGGGTCTCGACGGCCCCGGGGTCGCCAAAACTATTCAGGGGATTTGCTCCCGCGGCGGACGAGGGCCCTGAAGCTCAGTATCAGACGACAGCGCTACGGCCAGCTACAACTTGCGCCTCAACAGCAACACCCCTCCTCGCTTCTTCTCCTTCCCGACTCATAATGGAGGAACAGGAGGTTTCTTCAGGAGTGCCGTGTGAGACACCGATGTTGGCCTTCGGGAGGCCTCCTCGTCGCCACGGCTGGATACAGCTCGGAAAACTGGTGCTGGTGCTTTGGACCCCAGGAGGGGTCCAGGAACCGAATTTGAAACAAATTTCAGTTTCCAGTGTCTCAATTCGCCCTTCTCCGATTTACGAAACGAAGCGCAGATAACATGGAGCAAGAAAATGCTGGTGCGATCTGACGTGTGCTGGTGCGACACAACAGCTACAGGATTGCTGGTGCAAGAAAATGCGAGTGCGATATGATGTGCACTGGTGCGACACAACAACTACACGGTTGCTGGTGCGATTGACACTGCCGGTGCGACACGACGCGGTTTACCGTTTAATTGAAGCGTTTTTATCCTCCACCTCCTCCTCCTGTTCGTCGTCGTCCTCCTCGCCCTCCTCCTCCTACTCCTCCTCCTCTTCCTCCTCCTCGCCCACCTCCTCCTCCTCGCCTACCTCCTCCTCCTCCTCCTCCTCCTCCTCCTCCTCCTCCTCCTCTTCCTCCTCTTACTCCCTCCCTCCTCCTCTCCTCCTCCTCCTTCTTCCCCTCCTTCCTCATATGCATCCGTACTTTTGGTCCCACTGTCTTCTCGCTGCAAATAAACGAAAAGGGAGGGAGCGAAAAAAAAACCAAGGTTCTTTTGGCACTTTATCCCCGTAGAGACAAACAGTGTGTGCGGATGCCTAGTCCTCCTCTGAGAGGCACCCTTCGGGCGCTGGCAAAACAAAATTGAGCGGGACCTGGTTTAGTGATGTGTGCTGGGGGACGCCCCCCCCACCCCATTCCACTAACCGGAACTGCCGTCACCCGAAAAAAACACCAGCTACGGCAGACCTGGCTTAGTGATTCTCACTCTCGCCAACTCAGGGGCCCCAGGGCCCTACCACTAACCGGGTCCCCTTCCCTGGGGTCCTGGCGATACCCGAACCCTTCCCAGGCGGCACGCGAGAGGGCCCGGCGCCGGCGCCGCTGGGCGGCGCCGTGCCCGCCGCGGGGCGCCGAGGGACGGCGCAACCCGAGGGCGACAGCGAACATCCTTGTAGTGGGGTGGGTAGAGGAAAGAGAAGTTTGCACATGCACCGATTCTGGCCAGGCACATCCTGAGCCCAGGATCGGTGCATACGCGCCCTCCTGCCTTGGCCAGGAAAGCCTACGCGAGCCAAGGACAGGCCTGGCCAAGATCGGTGCATGTGCATACTTTTGTTCGCCCGAGTGCTTGTGTGAAGGGGCCCTGGGACACACAAATAAATACACACCCGCACTGTATTTTCCGATATTTTCGGGTTTTCTGTCTTCCCCTCCACTTCCCATATCTTCCTATATTTACTGGGGATCGACGATTCATTGTGTCTGTGTGTTTTTCCTTTTTTCCCACCACAGCATTTTGCCTCTTCCGGTACTTCGCCGCCAGGTTCCTGTCCAGGGCGTTCCTTTGCAAGCACATCGTCCTCGGCGCCGCCCGATTCTGGGGCGTTGCCCCCTCCAGGCCCTCACGTGAGGCCCCTCCTTCTGCTCCCCTCTCGTTTAATGCAAGCTGTGCGCGGCCCGCTGAGCTTCGACCGGTTGCGGTGCGCTCTCGACCCGCGGATCAAAAGAGTGTTTTTTCCCCTCCCGATTGCGGTGGGGCGCGGCGGCACTCAGCCGCTGGCTCCCCGCGCGGAGCGGGGTGGGCAGGGGCAGCATGGCAGAGGGCACGGCAGAGGGTCCGCTCGCGCAGCTGGCTCTCCCGGCGCATGTCCTGGTCTTGCCGTCGCTCGGACGTCCATGTCCCGTGCATGGTTCGGTCTCGTGCGTGTGTTGTTTTTTTGTTGCTCGATGGTCCAGGATGGTCCTCGATGAGTTTCGCCGAGAAACAATGCACACGTCCGAACGATGCCAAGTGGTGCTGGGAGACGCCCCCGAAGCGAGGAACGGGCCCGGCGGCGGGGCGGACCACGCAGCATCTTTCGCCCCCCCCTTTTACCCATCTAGGGGAACAAAAAGCGACACAAACATCAAAACTCGGAGGTCCGCGCGGACTTCTCGGATCCGCGCTGGACCCCCCTCCCCGGCGCGCGCAGCGCGCGGCGGCGCCAGAGGCGCCGCCAGGGGGGTCCAGCGCGGATCCCAGAAATCCGCGCGGAACTCCGAATTTGCATGTTTATGTTTGTGTCGCGATTCGTTCCCCTGCTCTCGTACCCTCTCGTCGGGCTCGAAAGGACAGCTCGGCTGCACGTAAGAGTGACCCTGGGTAAGAGTGACCTTTGGTGCGCGGCTTCTTCGGGGGCGCGAGGAGGCCAAACACAAGCGCGCAAGACGCTAATACCGCAACGAGCGCGGCGATCGGGGGACCCCAGTGAGCGCGCACCAAAAGTCACTCCGGCGAAAGGTCACTCTTACGTGTAGTCGAACAGCGTCGGCCCGCGCGGCCCCGGTTTCCAGCCTGCCTGCCAGAAACTCGGCCATCCGCTGGAGGCGCACCGCCGCCGGGCGAGCGGCGGGCGCCGCCGGGCGGCACGCGGAGGCGCTCTATACCCCCCGGAAGGTTGCGCGGGCAATCGGGTCGCCCATCGAGGAGCGCCGGCAGCAGCAAGACTGGAAGCAGGTCGGGCCTCCGGCCAGCGCAGGGAAGTCGCACGGGCCCGCGTCGTGGCGGCCGCACGGCCAACGTGCAGGCGCGTCGACCACCGCGAGGCGTTTGTGCTGGGCGACGTCCATGCAGTGCCGTCGCTCCTGAGCAGCACTGCGCAAGCCTCCAGCGGCTTGTAGGTACGTCGGGCCCTCAACCGCAATGCCATCGTTCCTGAGCAGCACCGTCTGCGCCGCTCCCGTGGCGTCTATGGGAGAAGAGCAACTACAAACTGCATGAATACAACTTCCAGAGGGTCCGTGCGGATTTGTTGGAGCGACGCTGGAACCCAGCCCTCCTTTGCGCGCGAAGCGTGCCAGCAGGCTCTCCACAGCAAACCCCTCGAAACCCAAGAAGCCCAGGGCACCCTGGAGGCAAGCAGGGTGTTTCTTGGCACTGGCTTCAACTGCCATAAGGGAGCCTCGTATCCGGCGATGCCGACCAGTCTGAGTGGGCAGCAAATGGACAGCTCGAATGTGACCCCTTTCTAGTTCGGATGGGAACCCTCGCCGCGGGTCTAGCGACCCCGACCTTGTCCAACGAACCCGTCTTGAAGGGGCCATGGGACACACAAATAAATACACACAAATACACGGATCCGCCACATTTTCCCATATCTTCTGGGCTTCTGTCTTCCCCCCCACTTCCCATAATTTCCTATATTTTCCAAGGAGTGGACGATTCGTTGTGTCTGTGTGTTTTTTCCCTCCCTGAGTCTGGCGACCCCGACCGTGCCCAACGAACCCATATTCTAACAGGATTCCCCATATTGTCCCAGATTGTCTGGGTTTCTGTCTTCCCCCCCACTCCCCATATTTTCCCATGTTTTCCTGGGAGTGGACGATTCGTTGTGTCTGTGTGTGTGTGTGTGTGTTTTTTTTTTGTCCTCCTGACTTCTGGCAGCCACCCTTTGGACGCCCGAAATGGGTACGGAAAAAATGGGTACAATGCCCAACAGCAAATGATGTCCCAAACCAACAGCGGCCGCTGTTGGGCAGCCGGCCTTCTGTCTCAAATGGACACAGGGCGCGGCGGCGTGGACAGCGAATCCTGTTCAAGATGATCAGGATCTGCTGTTGGGCATCGTACCCATTCTTTCCGTACCCATTTCGGGCGTCCAGACACCCGTTCTTGGAGAGGGAGGCGGGCGCGCGAGGACCGCCCGGCTGCTCCGCGGGCAACGAGGGGGCCCAGGACACCACCGGAGCCGCACTCCGCCGCGGGCGGGGGCGCACTCGGCGGGCCGCGAGCGCTCGGCGGGCCATCTTTTCCCATATTCCCATATTTGAAAGGGCCCAAGGACACACAAATAAATACACACAAGTAGAAACATTCCCCATAGTTTCTCATATTTTCTGGGTTTTTGTCTCCCGCCCCACTCCCCATATGTTCCTATATCTTCCGGGGGATCGACGATTGATTGTGTCTGCATGTTTTTTTCCCCTCCTGAGTGGATTCGCGACCCATGGAGTTTGCGCGCGGGCGCCACATCCATGGATCGGGGGAGGTGCCCTCCCCGAAATGCGGCCGGTGCCGCCCAGTTCCGCGGCGGAAGTCCGCGGTGTCCGATGGCATCGGGTCCCGTCTCTGATCCACGCCCCCTGAATCCATGTCTGCGATCGCCTGAGGGTGTGCGCTGTGTTTTTTTTTCGTTGGGGGGGCGCCTCCGTCCCCCACCGTTCCTAAGGTATGCGCTCGTGCACTGCGCGGCGTCTTCCTGCAATGTCCTACCTTATCTAAAGGGTCCTGGCTGCTGGCGGGCCCCGACAGCTGGCCGCGACGCCGCTTACAGGGCAAGGCACATGTTGGGGGGGGGGGGGCTGTCCTGTCGCGCGTCGTCCACGGCAGCTGCAGGCACCCGCTCCTTTGCGGCGTCGCTTCGTGGCTCCCCCGATGATGATCTGCTCTGCCCCCGTTCCTGATGATATGAAGGTGCCCGCGAAACTTACTTTGGATCGAGCCTCAAGTCAAAAACATGAGAACCACGCGTTTCGACCCCTAGGGGCTTTACGGGCCTAACTCCTGTGAGGCATCGAACGAACGTCGTCGACGATGGGAAAGGAGGCGGAGAGCAGAGATGCGGTGCACAGTGGGTGTTCACTCAAACAAAATGTTGCTCCAACCCGAAAGCAACCGCTGTTTGCAAGCGACGCTTTTCAAGACGGACAGCACACACGGCGACGCCGACAGCACGCCCCGGTCCGAATGAACAGAAAATGGCGTTGGTCGTCGTCGTGTCCTCCTCCTCCTCCTCCTCCTCCTCCTCCTCCTCCTCATCATTCCTCCTCCTCCTCCTCCTCCTCCTCCTCCTCCTCCTCCTCCTCGACTCCGATCTTGGGCCACGCCCATGACAGACAGACAAATAAACAGGCCCGCGTTCCAGCCCCGAAAGGCGGTCCTCTCAGAGGGCAGGCGCATGGGACACGCAGTCCCTCACTCTGGAAAGACTGTGGCTATCACTGCATTGGAGTCGAAATCTGCACCGGCTCCGGTAGCCGGAACGGCCCTTTACAGGGCAGACCGTGCGCTGATCATGTCGGAAAATTATGACGGCAACGAGCACACGCAAGAAAATGCTGTTAATAGATCCTCTGGTGTGCAACTCCGGCGTGCAAACATTCAGCCAGAGACATCCTGCCGGCTAAGACGGGCAAGATGAGGGGGAGGATGAGGATGAGGATGAGGATGAGCAGGAGGAGGAGGAGGAGGAGGAGGAAGAGGAGGAGGAGGAGGAGGAGGAGGAGGGGGAGGAGGAGGAGGAGGAGGAGGAGGAGGAGGAGGAGGAGGAGAGGGGGGCTGCCGGCCGCCAGCACATGTGAAAAATGCATGTACACTACACAGGCTCAGTATGGTCACTGTGACACAAACCCTTCCTCCAAAGCACTCCACAAATTAGGTTGTGTCGCACAACGTTGCCACGAAATGCAAATATTTTGCTGGTTGATGTGCTCCCAAATGTCGTCGTCCCAACGCCTCTTGTCCTGCCAGTGGACCGACGCGTTGTGTGCGAAATCAACGCGGGATCCCAAGACATCGCTTGCGAAACCCAACGGTCGGAGTCCATGTTTGCCACCAGGTAAGCCCATCGCCAGTTCCGTCTCCTTTGCTGACAAACTCATGGATCAGCACGTGCAGCCTGTAACTGTTATTCTGCCATCCGCGTTGCCCTTCGGATGAAATCTGCCCACGGCTCCATGTGTGTATTGTGTGGGTCACCCGAGGATGCGCATTCTGACTCTGACTGGGGGTTGCTGTCCACGTCAGCACACTCAACGTCAACACTGTGCGCCTTCTCGCGACACTCATGTACGGTTTGTTGCCAACATTTGTATAAGCATTCTTCGCTGCACACGTGTGATGTTATGCTCTACCTCTCGAGTAACAGGCCACATTTCGCTACCATACAGCAGCGTTGGCGCCACCGTGCTGTTGAGCAGCCGAATTCGATCTCTCAATGGATAATGTCTGCTGGTCAACTCTTGCTTATGGTTTCCATACGCTGCCCATGCCTTCCGGATCCTGTTGTTCAGCTCGCAATCGAAAAGGGTTCTCGCAAGATACAAGACGCCCCAAACATTTGATAGCTGCTGTCCGCGGGATGATATCGATGTCCAGGCCGTTGACGTGCACCGACGCAGCTGCCTGTCCTCCAGACTTCTTGCGCGCATTTGTGAAATATCTTTGTCTTGTCCAGGTGCAATGACAAACCCACGCTGGCGGTAGATATCTGGATGTCCGACAGCATCTGCTTGATCTGGTGCAGGGTGGTCGCAACTGCCAGCACGTCGTCGGCGAAACGTGAATTAGTCAGCCTGTTGCTGCCCACAGGGTCCAACCGAGCAAAGCCATCGGAGGCCCTCGTGGGGCAGGCAACCTTGCGTCTCAAACGGACAACATCCGCGGGCCACGCCGACAGCGAGTCCTGGTCAGAGTGGGTAAAAACTGCTGTCGGTCTTCGCCCCCATCCCCAGACCCCCGACGTCATGATCTCTTATGACGTCGACCCCCAGCGGTCCCGACCCATTCCCCAGGACCGGTTGTTCACCTGGAGTTGTTTTTGGATGGCCCCGAGGCCCGGGAAAGGTCCCCAGAAGCGTAAGATTGCGAACACCTTCCGCCGTGATGTTTTTTCGTGACTCGAGGGGGTCTGGGTCTTGGACGCCCGAAATGGGTACCGAAAAAATGCGTACTATGCCCAACAGCAAATGTTGTCCCAAACCAACAGCGGCCGCTGTTGGGCGGGAGGCCTCCTGCCTCGAATGGACACAGGCCGCGGCGGCGTGGACAGCGAATCCTGTTCGGAATGAACAGGAACTGCTGTTGGGCATCGTACCCATTCTTTCAATACCCATTTCGGGCGTCCAGATGGGTCCGTCCCCCATTCTCGATCGCGCCAACTCTCCCCGTGGGCCCCCCGGGGCCCACGCGAGGGCCCACGCGAGAGGCCGAGAACGGCGAAGGGTCTCTTCGCTCGGCGGAAGGAGCCCACGGGAATGCGTGAAAAGGGGCTGGTCTGCTCAGAAAGCGGCGCGGCTCCACAGAGACCCGCGTGCCTTCCGAGGAGGAGGAGGAGGAGGAGGAGGAGGAGGAGGAGGGAGGAGGAGGAGGAGGAGAGACGAGAGGGGAGGAGGAGGAGGAGGAGGAGGAGGAGGAGGAGGAGGAGGAGGAGGAGGAGGAGGAGGAGGAGGACGAGGAGGCGGAGAAGGAGGACGAGGAGGAGGAGGAATTGCAGGAGGAGGAGGAGAGGGATCAATATTCTAAGCCTTCTCCGAAGACGCAGACGGCTCCTCGGGAGGCGCGAGGTCTCCTTGGAAGCCCCACCCTCTTCCGAGAGGGCCTGCCCCCTTTCTACCCTTCCCCCCCCAAAGCTCGCCTCCGACTCGTACTGATCTTGTTCAACACCCTGGATTCGGAGGCAACTACTGGGAGGCTTTCGTCGCAAATATTGAAAAAGGATTAAGCAGCACTGGGGGGCTGTTACGCCAGAAAGGGCCTCGGATAAAGCGGGATTAAGCGGGATTAAGCCAGATCAAGAGGAATCGAGCGGGATCAAGCCGGATTCCGGAACAAGGAAAAATCAGAATTCGTTCTCCCAGGAGTTGCATCCGTACCTGGATGTCGAGGTTTCCCTGTAAGGAGCCTACGGAAAACGCACGCGCCCAACCATGTACGTGAACACGGCCCCTCGGTCCGCGAGATCGGCCACAAGGCACCGATACCGCTTCTCCCCGGACCTCTCTACGGGTGCTGCCCCACCGGGATTCGGAAGCGAGTCCAGCGGTGGCGGCGATGGAAGGGTACATAACGAGGGAAGGGTACCTTTTCCTCCTCCGAAACACGGCCCCCAGCTGAAGAGACGAGCCGCGTGATACGAACGTTCGCGCAATGCGTACTCTCGAAACGAACGTGGATTCAGGTACGTATGCCGGTTCGCAGCAAAAGGACTCCGATCCGCGTGGGAAGAGACCTGAGCTAACAGGGCCAAAAACATTTGGGATAGGGGGCCCTGATCCTGCATGGATGTATGATCCCTGACGCAATTAGCGGGGACCTAAGAGAGGCCACGCCGTAACTGTGATCAGGGATGGGGGGCTCTTATGTTATCCACGAGGCGCGTCCCTCTTTCGCTCCTGACCCTCCACGAGGCGACTCCTGAGCAGGGACCGACCGTCCAGGCATTCCTACGGCTCTACCACGAAATGTTCTTAGAACCTAACAAGGTTCTAAGAACAGAAACGATGCTCTTATAATATAAACACCATGTGCTGAACCGAAACAGCCCCCGCCAAAAATGTGCTGAGAACATGCCGTGGGGACCACAAACAATTTTTAGAACACTGTTTGGTGGGGCTGTAGGCGAACGAAAACGTTTCGCCACTGCTTGAAACTCGTTCCCTCCGCCCTGCGGAACGAAACTGTGTCGGGCGAGTCTCTCCCAGGGCCCGACACGTGGAAACCCTTGAGTTTCGGTATTTTTCTGGCGCTCGAAATTCTTCCTGATGAACAATGCTACAATAGGTTGGGGCATCATGACACGAGGCGCGTCGTTCCCTCCGCCCTGCGGAGCGGCGACGCGGCCGCGGCTCCTCCCTGGCCGGCTTCTCGAGCAGGGCCAGGAAGAAGCCCGCGCCGTCCCCGGGCAGGACACGCCTCGGAAGCGGCGGTGCCCACGCGGCCCCCGCCCCTCACGTTATGCCCGGCGTGTCCCCCTAAAGAAGGATCTTCGGCGAAAAATCAAAAAGACAAACGAACAAATAGTCCCCAGACTATTTCAGGACTACTGTTTGACGACTTTTGGAGCTATAGTGGATTTCTCATCGAAAATCGCCTTGTAGGGTGACAGGCCCGACAGAACCCTCACGGCGCGCGGGCCCCACTCCCTGAGGCCAGGCCAGGACGAGGCCAGACCGAGAACCTTCGGCATCGTGCAGCTCTGGACGGTGTGCCGGGCGCCGCGGCCTTCTCTCTGCTTGACCAAAAAGGGGGTCCAGCTGGAATAAAACAGGGCTAGGATCGGGATAAATCGCTCCAGAGCGTTCCGGAGCGCTCTCGGAGCGTTCCCGAACGCTCTGGAGCGGCCGCGGCGCCGAATACATCCTCCAAGCCCGCCGATTCTCAGAGATTTCGAATTATCCCGATCCGATGTTGTTCAGATTTTCGCGTCGTTTTATGACGCGGGGTGGCGCAATAGGCTCGGGGCAATTGTTTTGCAAATGTATTGCGCCAGAGAATTGTGCTGCATTGCGTTGCAAGGAATGCATTGCACACGACGCCCAGCAGTACATTTGCGCACTGGAATGTACTGCGCGCCCCAGATCCATTGCAACCCCAAGAACCTGTTGCGCCAAATATATTGCACCACCTCCTTATCGCTGGACCCCCTTTAGGGTCGACCAGATTCTCGGAGCGTTCCGGGACGCTCCGCGAGCGTTCCGGAAAGCTCCTCGTCCTCGCCCCGTCCCGGATTTTTTTTGTTCCGCACCACGCAGCCTTCAGCCCGCAGGGCGTTGCCGCGCCGGCCGCGGCGGCGAGGCGCCCCGCGCGCGCGGCCGGCCGGCGAGCCCGACCGAACTACACGGGGAAAAACGACGGGGGCCCCAAAGGACGGGCTGCGCGGCGCCGCCAAAAGACGGCGCCGCGCCACCCGCCCCCAGGGACCCATATTTTGGACCCCAGGACACCCAGGACCCAACCAAAAAGCGGCACGACACGACACGACACGACGGGGGGGCGCAACGGCCACGACACGACACGCACGACACGACACGGACGAACGACACGACAGAGACGAGCTGCCGGCCCCGCCCCATGGCGGCGAGCGCTGGGGGGGGATCCAGCACCGCCCTGGGGGGGGGGGGGCTGGCGTGAGCGGGGCCCAGAATCGCGATGCAGTGCGGGTGCGCCGCGTGACTCTGTGCTTCCGGACACCAGAAAACCAAGCCGAGAGCGCCTGTGCCAGACGCGCCGCAACTTCTGAGCAGCTCCGAAAGATCGCCCGCGTCTCCGTCGAAGATCCCGGCGAGAATACGCACTCGGCGCTGCAACACCAGGCTCCGAAGCCCGTTGCGGAAGCCTTCGGGCCACGGGCTCCCCACGACGCTCGTCTGGCATCGGAAGAACAGAGAGAGCGTGATCCACCGCCGCTTTACTGTGGAAAATTGCCAACCTTTTCCTCCGGAGCCCGGGGGTCGCCCCCCCCCCCCCCTCCGAAAATCCCCCCCCCCTGCTGGAACCCCTTCCCCTCCCCCCCCCCCCCCCCCCCCTCCCCCGGCAAAGCCCCCCCCCCCCTAACCCTTCCCCCCCCCCTCCCGCTCGAAAACCGAGGGGGGGGGGGGGGCCCACTACCGGTTCAAACCCCCCCCCCCCCCCCCCCCCCCTCCGGGGGGGGGGAGGGGTCACACGGTTCGACCCCCCCCCCTTCGCCCCCCCCCCCCCCCCCCCCCCTACTCACCGCCAGCAAACGACTCCCGGTCCCCACCACCGTCCGCATCACATCCCCCACTGGTGTTCCCAGCACCACTGTCCTCACCACCGCTGTCCCCACTGGTTCCACCACCGCCCCTACTGTCCCCACCAGTGGCCCCACCACTGTCGCACTGTCCCCGCTGTCCCCAGAACTGTTCCCACCACGGTTCCACTCTCCCCACTGTCTCCACGGCCCCAACCACTGCCCGACTATCCCCACTGTCCCCACTGTCCCACTGACTCCTCCGCTGTCCCACTGAGCTGTCCCACTGTTCCCACCACTGTCCCCACTGTCCCCACCACTGTCCCCACTGTACCTCTGTCCCATTGTCCCACCGCCGTCCTCGCCACCGCCTTCACCACTGTCCCCACCACCATTGTACCCTCCACTGTCCCACTGTTTCCACCTCATTCCCATTGTCCCCACACCACTGTCCCCACCACCACCGTCACCACCACTGTCCACTGTCCCCCCCTGTTCCCACCATTGTCCCCACCACTGTCCCCACCACTACCGTCCCCACCACTGTCCCACTGTCCCACTGTCCCCACCACTGTCCCGCTGTCCCCTCACCACTGTCCCCGCCAACACCGTCCCCACCACTGTCCGCACCCCCACTCGGTTTTCGAGGGGGGGGAGGGGGTGTGAACCGGTAGTGACCCCCCCCGGTTTTCCAGATCCAGAGGGGGGGGGGGGGGGGGGGGGGGGGGGGGGGGGGGGGAGGGGTTCGAACCGGTAGTGACCCCCCCCCCCCCCCCCCCCTCCCCTTTTTCATGATGAGCAGGGGGGGGGGGGGGGGGTCGAACCGGCAGCGACCCCCCCCCCCCCCGGTTTTCTGGAGGAAGGGGGGGTGGGGGGGGGTCGAACCGGTAGTGACCCCGCCCGGTTTTCCGCCAGCAGCGGTAGAACATGCTCTTTCGAAGAACACGCACCCCACTGCTATGGGGAGCTTGCCTTCCTTTGCTTTCGGATTGTAGGCCCCCGCTGCCAAGGTCACCGACCAGGCCTGAACCAGGAACTTCCCGTGGGAGTGCGCGCGAAGCACGTCGCACTGCTCGACGCGCCCGGGAACGCAGAGGAGAGCCCCGACGCACTCGTGCGCGACCGCGCCGTGGAAGCCACTCTGGCGGATGAGGGCGTCGAGATGTCGCTTCCGCTGGGCGCGTGTGATGTCCGCGCCAGGCTCGAAGGAGACTAAGACGACCCCTTCGCGCCTGGCCCTGGCAGCTGCGACCCGATCCGACAGGGGGGCGTCCGCGCGCAGGACGAGGGAAGCAAAAGCCAGGTTCACGCGCGCCTCTGTCTGCCCCTGCTGGACCTGGTCTGCATCGTCGCACAGCAGGGGCACAAGAGGCTTGGAATGGCTCGGGCCGCGCTCTTCCTCTGGGAAGTGCGGGCGGCCTTCCTCTGGGAAGTCCTCTTGGACAGGAAGCGCTGGCGATCGCGCCTTGGTGGTCAGGGCGAGCGGCTGCGTCGCGCGGGCCCCCGCTGCTGCGGGGGAGCTGTCACGCAGTTTGTCTGCTGCGGTCAGACCCTGCCGCTTTGGCCAATTAGTCGTGCAGGGCAATCTCGGTCTCGGGTCCTCGGAGCAGGTGGCGTTCTGTCCAGGCTCGATTACCACTGTGGCGGCGCCTGGCTCCACGCATGCCCCCGCTGCTGCGGAGGCCGCCTGCGCCGCCGTTTCGACTACAACGATGTTGGCGGCGGCCGTTAACTTCCGCGCCTGCGCGATCTCGCCCTTATCCATCATTTTCTGAGCAACCGCCAGGCTCCGCGAGACGGTTTCCTGGGCAGCGCTCATTGACGAAAGCAATGTCCTAACTTCCGCGGCAAACTCCTTCCCCGCTGCTGCGGAGGCTGGTGCTGAATCTGCCAGCCCCTGCGGAACTGCTTCATGGGCCTCCTCTGGCAGCCCCCGCTGCTGCGGAGACTTCGGCAGAGGCTCCTGCGCGGTTCCAGTCGCGCCTTGCTGCTCCATGCCCCGGGCCGCTCCCGTCGCGGAGGCGGGCGGGCGCGGCGGGGGGCAGACCTGCAACGGCTGCGGATTCACTTTATCGCATTGCCATCCCTCCCTGCGCTCAAATGGCTATTCCCCTTTGCGCCAGTCTGCTGCTCCCACTTCTGAACTACCTCGTCCCTTCTACCTCCCCCTGCACCCTCCTCTTCCTGTTCAATCCTCCCTCCCCCCTCCGCCGTGCTCATTTCTCCTTGCTCCCTTCTCTGCTCCTCCTACGTGGGGCGTTTCACGACAACGACGACGACGACGACGAGGACGACGACCACGACGGCGACAACGAGGGCGACGACGACCACAACGACGACGACGAGGACGATGACCACGACGGCGACCAGCGACGACGACTAGCGACGACGACGACCGACGACGACGACGCCGACCACGACGACGACGGCGACGACGACAACGAGCGACGACGACGACGACAATCGACGACGGCGAGGAACGACGACGACGAACGAGGACGACGATTACGACGACGAGATGACGAAGGTTCGAAGATCGAACCGCGAAGTGCGAAGCTTCGAAATTCAAACTTCGATCTTCGAACTCCGAACTTCAATCTTCGAACTGCGAACTTCGACGGGGTGCCAGGGATGCAATGGGATGGAGGGAAAAATGGGAAGGAGAGAGCGAGGGAGCGGGAGAGGAAGTTGGAGGAGAACGAACAGGAATGGAGCGACGAGGAACGGGCGGCGAGGAGCCGACGTCGAGGGCGGCGGGATGGGGGGACAGGGGGGAGAGGGAAGACTTCAGAACGAAGATCGCGCCACGGCGCCTGCGCGCGCGCCCCCGATCTCGGCGGCCGACGCGCGCGCCCCTGCCGAAATGCAACGCGCCCTTCATTCGAGCCCCGCTGCTGCGGAGCCACCTACTCCACAACCAAATCGTCTGGGGAGCTGTTCGGCCCCCAAACTACTGGTTTACCAGCCGCTGCTGCGGGCGCCGAGGGCCCGGTGCTGGACGCCGCGGCCCCGCTGATGCGGGGCCCCTGAGAAGGCGTCGGCCCCCCCTTCTATCTGGCGGCGTCGAACTTGACCTTGCGCTCCACACCGAGGTCCTTGTGCCAGCGATAGGTTCCTGACCCGTCGCTCCCGCCCAAACCCGCGGCTGGTGGCCTCGCCGTGTCCGCGCGGGGCATGAGGGGCAGAGCTTCGACCTTCCTGT